CTAACATTCCCTACCAATCCAGACACTAAGTGCAGTGCCTGGTAGTAGAAAAGAGATCAACATGTCCATTTGCAAAATTAAGTTTCATAATTCAAAAATACTCATGTGAATTCCTAGGTGGCCCTCACTATGCACCAGCCGATCAATAAATTTCCCAAAATGCTACTGGTAACACCCAAACAGCTTCTCTTCCTGGATCTCTCAGCCCCTAGAACTTGACGGGGCCCACCCTGTATCCTTCATGTCACAGCCTCCAAAAAGCCATTGCTGGCTACCCCTCTACACCCCACACATACACACTTCATTAACATTACAGGACCTGTCCTGTCGTCTTGCTGGCCGTTCCCCTCTCTCTAGAATGTCAATCCCGTGAGAGCAGGAACCTGTACCTTCAGCACGCAGAATAGTATCTGATGCAGACACTGCACATGTTAAATACCTGGGGGAGATCATCCACACCCTCACGTCACTGACCTGCTGCTCACAGTCCCGAAGGCTCCGCTGCACGTCCTCTCTGCTCTACATTCTGAAATGCGCCCATCCTGCCACCATAAATAAAGACTCCCAGCCATCCCAGCCCAGAGGTCCCTTTTCCTTCTCTCAGCGCCAACAGTCCTTTCGTTTAGCACTTTCTTTTTTGTAAACTACCTATCAAGTTTTTTTCCATGTGGATCCCTTACCTCTCTAAATTGACTACAAATTTCTATAGGCTTTGTTGCCTTTGAAGAAAGAACTTCAAATATGTAAATTTCAAAAAAAAAAAATGAGTGTTCATCACAGTATGGAGGTTTTTAATTTGAAGGGCTGTGATTGTACAAACAGATAAAACTTTCTTTTTAAGCTGATTATAATTTAACTGTTATGTGGTGACTAAAGGTCACCTAGATAAATACTATAAACTAGCTGATACTCTCAGGGACTATTTACAGTTTTTATAAAGAACTAGAGACCCGGTGCACGAATTCATGCACGGATGGAGCTCCTCGGCCTGGCCAGTGATCGGAGCCGATCAGGGCCATCCTGCCCAGTCCCGATCGGGGCGATATATAGATTACCTGAACCTGCTAAGTGACATTAAGGAACTGTGCTCCTTCTAACTCATTACTGGTTTTCTCATAAACTTTCTGTCTTCTTTACTGTCCAGCTATCAGCAATAAAACTATTTGCTGCTATAAGTAACTCTCCCTTTCTAATTTCCTTCTAATTTGCTGTGAACAGGAAAAGTCAATAGGTTTGAACTAGGCCTACAAAAGGGGCAAAGGGGCACAGAGTGAGGCTCAGCCATGGGAAGAGAGGCGGAAGAGACCCACTGCTTATTCTGAGCTTTCACATGTGCTCCATAAATACTGATTGATTAAATGAGTCACAAACTCAGTCGTTCCTCGGTGAGAAACACCTAAGTAGCTGTCAGCTACACACTGTTGGTGGCACTTACAAGTAGGGACTCACATGCTGCACAGAGCTGTTCCTTTTTATAATCTCATTTGCTCTTGACAACAACCATGTGAGGTTAGGTAGCACCAGGACCATCCATGCAATGGCACCCACTTCTAAAGCTATGGAAACTAAGCCCCAGAGAGGTGACATAATTTGCCCAGTTACCAGGTAAAAACCCAGGGGTCCTGTGTTTTCCTTTCCTTCCACTAAGCCCAATTGTACAAAAGCCCTGTTTACTTAGGGTAAAAGAACTTCAGGTAGGGCTCCTATGTAGCCAAAAGAGGGCAGGGCAACAGAACAGTCTGTGATTATATTCTATTATAATCTAAAAGAGCACTTGCCAATAGTCATTGTTTATTGCTAAAAAGCAAGTTCAATTCACACTAACAAATAGGAGGCAGAGATGGAGAAGATGCTAATAAATACATCCAAATTTAGCCCTTCTATGTTACTTCACAGATTATAACCTTCCTATGGTTTAAATTAACCGGAAACACCTAACACTAAAAAACTCTCCCTGCCTCTATACCTGAAAAGTTTAATCTGTCCCATCCAAGGGACTGCTCATGTTCAATCTCATTACAGGGGCTGCTCAGACATGTAAGAAATTAGACCAAATTATAAAACCGAGAATCCAAAATTCTAGCTCAAAATGCCCAAGGTGTGTACATCTCTGGCCCATGGCAAAACTGCATGCTCCTTGGTCAGAGACAATGTGAACTGTGTTCTCACAGCGCTGCGTTCTTTTCCTTCATTGCAGGTTTGTGTGCGTCTTTGTTTGCCAATCAACAAATATTTATTGAGGGCCTATTCCATGCCAACCATCTAGGCGCTGATCAGCAACTTACTGACTTAACATGTGTCTCTAGACTACAGGCGCCTTAAGAAGAGTTACTGCTTCTTTTTTGCTCACCATTACGAAGCACTACCTAGCAGAGTGCCTGGCACACGGCAGGTGCTTAACAAACATCAGTTGAATGAAGAATGAAAGGCAGAGACTCAGAAGGAAAGAGAGAAGGGACCACTTTGTATGTAAAGGAACCAGGGCTTTTCACTGCCCAGAACTCGCCTCCTGATCCCCCAGCGATCTGATGAATTCTGAAAGGCACCACATGCATGCACAGCTGTAGGCACAGCAGCTGTCATGCAAAGGAGCTGAGGCCCAGAACTGCGCAGAATTCAGCCCTTTGTTTCTCTGCCTCCCTCATGACTGGAGTGAAGTTAGGTCCACTGTCAATCTGCCTGTCAGTTGTGTATCTTCAACATCTGGCTTTCAGAAATACTAAGTTAACATTGCTACTGAGTGAGCTTTACGTCGATTTACTCACTGACATCACTACCTGAAAAAATATTAAAATGTCTAAGGCCTATATAAAACCGGGTTCATATAAAAAGTTCTCATTTCAGGTCTTTGCAAGCTATAAATTAGCCTTCACCGAGTATTTAATTGAAAAAAAAAAAAAAAAAAAAGCTTGACTCATTATTTAAACTCTCCAAACTTTAGGTCATAAAGTTCAAACAGGACTCATTACCAGTAAGCTGTTCAAAACAGACTAAGTTCTAAGAATGAGCCTCACCCAAGTATTTTAATTAAAACCTAAGATTCAGTTTGGTTATATGCTTACTACCCTGAGTAGTTATAAAAATAATAATAGGATAAAAAGAAATATGAACTATGTAACTCAACATAAAAAAACAGCAATTTAGGCAGGTATGAATTCAAAGATGTGTAAGTTCATGTAATAAAACAAAAAGTTTACTTTCCGTTTTCCCCTCCTAAATCTAACTAAATAGATTTTTAAAATTAAGGGATAAATTAAGAAGGAAAGCAAACAGTAATAAAATGTTCTAAATATGCACGCCAAAGTATGCCAAACAGAATAGCCCTGGAGTGACGATTCCATTAAGCTATGAATATGTTTAAATACATCAGTTAGTTAGGCTTAGTAGCAGAGTAAACACTTTCCCTTCCCCCCCAAACTCTAGTCCTTGCAAATCACAACTTACCTGGAGAGGCTGGTGACATTAGTTAAAACAAAATGAACACTAAATAAAGGAACAAGGTGAATTATGTGAACACTTTGCAAATAATTATGCACTAAGCCTAATGTAAACAAAATCTCAATACCCAGTTAAAACAGTAAAAACAAAAAAACCTGGGAATTTCCTAGAGCCTGATCATCTAATTCAGGATCAGATTATTTAATGACCTAAAACATTAGCAAAATCATATTCAACAAATACAGAAGATGTATTTAGTAAAAGGCCCACAAACTGTCCCCTGGATGAGTTATTCTCATGATACTGTGAAATACAAAGAATATGTAATGGAAAAATCAAAAAGGATTTCTTGCCTACACTTTTAAGTATCATTTTTACTTTTTTCCTAAATCAAGTTTATGTTGTGATTTTACAGTATGGTTTCCACAATTTACTTTACAATGTAGTGAGTAAAGGACAGATGCCTAAGTTCAGATGACTATAAAAATTTACTTAAGACCAAAGCGAGCAAAAACAAAAGAGTTTTATATTAGTAAGAAACTGTCATATTGTGCCTTGGCATATATTCAAACTAGGCTCTATGGAAGATTCACAAATTCACATTAAAAAATATATATTTTTAAATCTCAACAATGAGTCAAAATGCCAGCTAGAAATATGATATATGCAACCAAACTATTTTCCTACCGGAAATTATCCCCTCCCTTTTGTAAGCGTGACTACGCTTTACCTTGGCTTGAAAACATCATAAAACAAAACTACTGGAGTTGAGTCAAAAGTGACAAAACACCACACTCTCAACTTCCATTCTGCTAATGGTCTGATTTCGGGAAGATCTGCTGTGCTGAGACCTTAGCCCACCCCGAAGAGTGTTGCAATCTTGCGCCGCGCCGCGTGGGGTGGGGAGGGGTGGGGTGGGGAAGAGTGGCAGGGCCCATCCCGGAGCGGAGAGCGAAGGCTCGGCCCGCGGGAGGAGGGGGGTGCCGAGCGGCCTGGAGTGACAGGGCCCAGCCCCTCGCGGGGCAGTGACAGTGCCCGATCTGCCGCGCGGAGTGGCAGTGCGCGGCCGGCCAGCCTGCTCTGCCCTCCGAGGGACATGGGCTCCTCAGCCCGGCCGCAGCGCGACCGGCCCTTACTGCAGCCCCGGGTGGACACGCGGCCAGGGAATCTGCGGACCTGGAAATGTCACTGTGGAAACACATTTTATGACGCGTTCTCTGGCAAATAGCACAAAAAGCTAAGAATATACCGGGAGTGCACGGCTGGAAGGCACAGGCTGCAGCTCCCGCCCGTAAGTCCGGCTCTCCTGACGTCCGAGGGGGCAGTGACAACTAGCCTGTGGGCAGCGCTGGGGTCCGTGCACTTTTCCACGCCCGGATCCCAGCCCCAAGTTAGAAAAGAGCCCACGCAGCGTCCGGCGCCGTGATTCAGCAGCGGCCCGGGGGGGCCGGATCATGGGCAGGCGGTCAGTCCGGAAAAGGTCACCGAGAGCTCCGGGCGCCGCCCCGGCCTGGGTCCTGCCGGCCCGGAGCGGCGAGGGAGCGGCGGCGGCGGGCTCCTACCTTTCCTGCTTTTCGGGGAACTCCGCTTGCTCCGGGCGCTGGCTCGCTCTTCCTCAATCGCAGCTGCTATCTCGGGGTTGTCTTCCCCATTGTACCAGACCAGGAGCTCCTCGCCCGGCGCGATTGGCTGCGGGGAGAGAAGAGACAGGCGCCGAGCCAATCAGAGCGGCGGTTGTTGGTGGGGCGGGGGCAGGGAGGGGCCGCGAGCCAGAGGCCAGCCGGGCAGGAAGGGCTCCGAAACCCTCTGCGGCGGCGGGCGGCGGCTGCGGGAAGGAACCCTCTGCTGGAGGGAGGACCTCACTTCCCGCCCGCTTCCTCTCCATGGTCCATAAGGCCATCTATGGATCTAGAGAGATTGCTTTAAACTCAAAACTGCCATATGCTGCGAATCTTACTGTTCAACGCCTTACAGAAGGGAAAAAAAGAAAAGCCCGGAACCATTTTGCTCATGAAATCTAGCTGATGAGCAATTTCAAGCACAATTAGAAAGAACCAGGAGGTTTGGAAAGAGAAGTGCTGAAATCTAATTACCAGTGCACGGTTCAGATTCCAAGAGCAAGTTAAGCCTGATAAGGAAGAACTACATGCCACTGCACATTTTTAAGTCGCCGCTAATTACATCACGGAAAAGCTAAAAGGACAGGCTATATCTGTGCACTGCCACCACCTATTATTTTGTTTCATTCTCTGCAAAACTCACTGTGTATATAGTTTAAATTCTCTACTCAGGTCCATAGAAAATTCACTGTCTCACCCTCTGTACCACACATCGAGTTTACATGACAAATTTACAAGGAAATACCTAAAATTACGTCACATGTATTATGCTCCTAAAACATTAATTCTTAACTTTCATGTCAGTAGTGAGGACATATTCCACCAACATACTGATTACACCTAGAACAAGACCCTGAAGAACAAATATACTGAGTGTAAAGATTACTCTCCTAAATAGGATTTAGGGAAATGTCTGACTGGTTTCTCTCACAATGACTCATCTGTTCAAATACTTCCGAGAGGGTCAACACAAGTAACATTCTACCTAAAACCCTATGAATAAAATAAGAATCAATGAGTCCATACTGATCTAAATGAATGAATGAACAAATAAATAAGTAAGAAGGAAAACTTCATTAAAGCAGATCCCAACTAATCACTAAAAAAGAAATAAAGGAGGCAGGTAGAAGAGGGAAAAAGAGGGATAAATAGTGATGAAAGCAGACGGCTTTGGATGGTGAACAAACAATACAATATATAGATGATGTATTATAGTTATACACTTTAACCTATATAATTTTATTAACCAATATAACCCCAACAAATTCAATTAAAAATAAATGGAATTAGAAAATCACCACTTGGTAATCATCACAGTAATAATTGATTCAGGCAAGAATTATTGATGGAACTTATAGGCAGAAATTTGAAGAATAACAGAATATTTTCAAAGTTTCAAAATATCTCCCCCTAAAACATTTACTAGTTCCAAAGTTAAAAACTATCTTTATAATGATATTAGACATATGTGCCTCCTGATACTATGCACAGAAAAGAACACAGCATCACTTCTGGAGATTTCTGCCCAACATGAATAAATGTAACTTAATCACGATGAAACACAAGAGAAGCCCAAACTGTGGGACATTCTACAAAATAACTGACCAGCTCTCTCAAAACTGAAAGGCCATAAAAGCAAACTAAAGAGACTAATAAAAAGACATTATAACTGAATGCAACTGGGTTTTCTTTTCCTATAAAAACATGATTGGAACAATTGACAAAATATGAATAAGGTATATAGATTAGCCAATAAACTATACACCTTATCAGCGTCCTGCTTTAGATCACTGCACTATAGGTTATGGAAGATGCCCTTGTTTGTAAACAAGATGTCAGTTTAGAAACAACATAGTTCCTAAGTTCAACATACCTTCTAGATAATGCCCTTTAAATTAAATATTATTTTGTTTCATTCTCTGCAAAACTCAGTTTATATAGTTCAAATATTAAAACATTCTAAAGTCTTTAAAATAAGCCACCGTTTCCTTTGCTTCCCCACGGATGGTTAAAACCTGCCATTTTCTCATCTTTAAGCCAATGTACTATCATTTACCTTCTTGAGTCTGTTAAACCTAAACAAACAAAACACACATAAAAAAATACTAATATAATATGTATAAGATTTTAATGAGCTAAAATACATAAGATTTTATATATAAGATTTTTTATGAATTAAATATCCATTAAATACTTTTTAGCACTCTGATGAGATAATATGTTTCTGTTAAAGGAACAGGCTTTTTTGTTTAAATAAACCACTTATAGTTCCAAATGTACAGTTTGCTTCTTGACTTTTTGTTGTTAAGTCGCATTTATGAAATGGTGGTATCATAAATATTTGAAATGATTAGAGTTTGTGGAAACATGTAAAGACTTAAATAAAACCAAAGTAAAGAAGAACATGGAAAGGAGTGAGAGAAAAAAATGCATTTCCAATTTATTCCTAATCCAAACAACACAACCAGGACACTGTGTGAAGACACCCTCTAGCCCTGTTCCAGGTTCCTCCCAGACTCCGAGTGTGAGCTTCCGTGGCCAATCCACTCCAGGCTTCTGAGGGTACCACCTGTATGCCCTGTGCTAGCAACTGGATGATGTTAAATATCAGCACAAACTGTTCACTTCAAAACACACAATATAAAAACATGCCCCCCTCAAAAAAAAAAAATACCATACCAGAATCTGTTTTTACCTCAATCTAATATAAAATTTCTAAATGGCTAATGAGTTGATGAATTAAAAGCAATGTGATTTGTTTGAATAACCTTCAAAATGTGTAGCAACTGAGGTGATTATATTATTGAACGATATACTTCCCAACTTCATATTAAAACAGATACACAAATAACAGACCTTTATGAAGAGGAAAATACCATCTCTCTTTTTAAATCAATGACTGTGTGCCTCTGTACTATTTTTTGTCTTTACTGCTTAGCACATTTAAGATTTTATAAGTCAAACTTCATAATAAATGAAAAATTGTGTTCTTAAACACAGGAAATATAAAAGCTGCATATAAAAAATATAAAGTCAAAAGTCCAAACAACCTCTTTTTTTATGTACTGTATGTTGATGTTACATTTGTTTAACAAAAAAATGTAACCAGAATAACAGAAAGACTTTAAACTCCTCCAACTTTTCCTCTGGATTCTGACAGACTTACCATAATCAAGCATATTCTCTTCTCTAAATACTAGTAAATATAACCTTGAAATTTTAACAGACCAAATAAGAAGAGGCAAGGGTTCCAAAAAACATTCTTGACACTAAGTCAAAATAAAAGACTCCAGAATTACAGGAACACAAAGCACTTCCATGCTTTCCCTATAATCTAGTCCCCAACCTGACCTTTTAAAAGTCACAGGTCAGAAGCCTCAACTCTGGAATGGGTGAACTGAATTGAAGACTAAAAACTCATACTTCTTTCTCCTTTCTGACAACTCCGCAGACTCTGCCCACCTCACCAGACTCATTTAACATTCTTTCCCTTGTTCCCACCACAATGGCCTTAAAAACAACAAAAACTCCAGCATATTCCTACTTGAAGATCTCTGCTTCTCTTGGGGCCTCGCTTCCTGGACTGCTCTTCCTGCAGACATCTTTGTGTGGCTGGCTGACCACACATGCCAGTGGGGGGAATTCATTCTGACTTATCTTCCCTGACCCAGCAGAGATAAAGCAGTCCTCTCCCTAGTCTCTATCACATTTTATTGTCTTCTAAGCCCTCATCAAGATCTGAAATTATTTTGTTTACTTACTCACTTGCCTATTATCTTGCTTCCTCCCCATAAATTGGAAGTTCCATGAGACCAGAGATCTTATCTGTTTGGTTCACTACTATAGAAGAATACCTGGTACTTACTAGACAATAAATATTTGTCAAACTAATGAAGAAAAGAATGGATAGCAGGTTAACAGTTAACTTTCAAAGCTTTAAAATACTTTTTAATTATATTACCAACTAAATCAACATTGGGACTTTCCAGTTATCATGGTGACAATTGAGAAGGTGAGCCCAGAAGAGCATCACATGTAATTTTTTTACAAAATCTAACTCACAGAAAGCCTAATCTGTAGTTACATAATCACTAATAAGAATTCTGAAAGGTCTTGTGCATACCTGAGCAAACATCTAAGGTCAGAATTGGGGGAGGTCTGCAAAGATCAGAACTATGTTACTTCAGAAGAAGATGGATAGAAATAATAGTAGCAGTGCAGCTAGTTAACAACTTTGAGTACTAGGGTGAGACTAGGTACACATCACAGAACCTTACTCATACCATCCTGCTTAATCTTTGCAACAACTATATATTAATTTTACTATTAACTCCATTTTTACAGATGAAAAAACTAAGACACAGATGGTTTAATTAACTTCTCAGGGTCACACATCTGGAAGCCAAAATCCACTCACAAGGCAGTCTGCTACAGTCCTCACCCCTAACCATATTATACCACCTCGCAAAAAATAGCAACTACCATTTATTTAGCACTTCTTAGGCAACAGCGCTCTACCAGTACATAGAAATCACCATGATCACTCTATGAAGTCAATACAATTATTATCTATATCTTACAAATAAGGGAACTTTTCTTGGGTCACACAGCAAGCTGGGATCTAATCCAGAAGTCTAGCTTCAGAGTTCACTCTCCCAATACTCTCTCTCCTGCTTCTCAGTGTTCCTCAGATTTGCTATCAGAGACAGCAGTGTGATGACAGAACTTCAAAGTGTCCTAGCATCTCCCTGGGCTTGCTCTCCCTAGAAACCTCCTTTCTCCTTCCTTGACTGTCTCAGATTCATCCCTTTGCTGGCATTTCATCTCCCCCAGGATTCTGCCTCACTGATTCAACCAGATATACCTTCCCACTTTAAATAAATCTGAGAAACACAATGAATTCTTGAATCAAATTTAAATCTAATTTCAAATTCCAGTGTAATGAAACTGTATAGTAATACCTACTAGGGCAGGGGTGGGCCAACTTTTTGACTCGAGGGCCACAATGGGTTCTTAAACTGGACCGGAGGGCCGGAACAAAAGCATGGATGGAGTGTTTGTGTGAACTAATATAAATTCAAAGTAAACATCATTACATAAAAGGGTACGGTCTTTTTTTTTTTTTAGTTTTATTCATTTCAAACGGGCCGAATCCGGCCCGCGGGCCGTAGTTTGCTCACGGCTGTACTAGAGAATCATGCTATTACAACACAGCAGAAAGAAAATGAGAGGGCTATAGAAGTATTAAATTAGAAAGTACAACAAAAATACCGCTCCTACAGGGACTGGAATCAAGAATGTGGCTATGTATGAGGCAGAGGACAATCCAACTGTCTAAAAATGACAGGAAAATTAAGCAGCTATGCTCACTAAACTTCCAGAAGCCCTAGTGCTACCAAAACCCAGCCTGCCACAATACTGACCATGATCCTAAATGCTTGTTCAACTAGAGTTTTTGATGTCATGGAGATCATTTTTTCATAGGCTGTCCCCCTAATCCATGACATTTTTAATAGAAGTCAGTGAATAAAGAGAAATTTGCCTTACAACAATTTCAGCAAACATATCTATTCCAAAAAGCAACAATCATCTATATTTAGAGCCTCAAGACTCCGCCTTCGGAGGACCAGTGCAGATTTGCATTCAGAGAGAAGTGACAAGAGACAGACAGGGGCCTGCTTCTTGCAGAAATGCAGCCACACTCAATGCTTCCTAATACTAACTTCCCTGATGTGTTCAGTGACCTGTGACCTCACCTCAAACCCTAAAAAATTACTTTCCTCTTCTTTTCATCTCAGCAATGAATGTCTCCAAATAAAAATTTCACAAAGGAAGAAACATGTTCTACTTAATCCCAATTTTGAATAAAATTTAGGAAAAACCTAATCCAAGGCTACATTATACTGAAGACCAAGATTGTTTTCAGTTAGTACAGAACTACCAGAGCTATTGGTGGTTTCCTACATTGTATAAATCAGCCTGTCAGACAGTTCCTAATACATCTGTATCTTAGGAGGAGGGAAGTAGCTGCCACACGCTTAGCTCCTCAGTATCTATAAAGATGCAGCAAGTAATTACTTGACACAATCTTCATGCTTCAGTGCTCTTATGCACATGAAGCGGCGGCAACCAGATATTTAAAAACGCAGACCTTCAATGTGTTGATGAACCACTTTCAAATATAATCCTTTCAAAGTCTGCAAAGTTGTTACTGTCAGTCACAGCTAAGGACGGTATTTGCAAAAATGCATGCAGAGTAACAGACTAATTCTAACACTCTTACCTTTAAAGTCTTATAGTAAATAGCCCTGTTGATTTCCAGTGGAAATAAATTTTGCTCTTCTCCTGAACAAGCCCAATTCACATATCGAAGCCAGTTCCCCTTCTCTGGATCGGTGGCGTCAATGCACATCCATCCCAAATTTGGATAGTATACCTTGGGAGAAGAAAGAAAATACCTTTGTTAAAATGACAGTGTTGGGGTCCAACCCCAGCAGGTCCAGGGGTTCCCAAGGTGTGGACAGAGTCGGCGAAGAAGAAATGACACGGAGACAGCGTTCAGTTGATCAGCAGCCTAGCCAGGTTCTCTAGTCAGGTTCTCCAGCCAGGTTCTGTCTTTATTCTCCTGTTACACCTGTATTTATACCAGTTGATTTTAATCCTATCCATTCTATTCCAAAGGTTAGTGTTTGTTATCTCCATTCCAAGGTCACTACTCTATTGTTCTGTTAAGCTACAAGGAAGTAACTGAAGGAGATTATCCTAAGTAAAGATTATGTAGCTTAAGTGTGATTGTTTGTAGTTAAAGTGATTAACTACCCGCCTGGCACTTAGTTAAGGGGTTTTACTGATTTATTCCCTTCCTTAGTCGTGTTAATCCCTAACTCCAGGGAAATATCCCCACCTGGGGAAACAACCTTTCTCAGAGAAGTGACCTTGGTTAAAACACATAGCGCTAAGTAGGGGAGAAAACATATTAAGAACAGTATGCCATATATGCCAGGTCCCTTGAAACAAATGCTGTGCAGATGTTTCTTCCCTGCAGCGACTGTGTCAAGCAGCAAGGATAGACTGGCTTCCGGCATGACAGTATCTTTAAAATGTTCCTATTTTCAACTTTGAAGACAATTATTTTTCATTATATGCAAACTAGTGGCCCGGTGCATGGATTCGTGCACACTGACAGGAAAATAATTAGAATAGTCATTGCAAATGCTGGCATTCTGTCGACAATGCAGGCTTCTTTCAGCTTCAGAGGTATGTTGTGCCAATAGTTGGTCTTCAGACATATTCTGTCCAAGATACTGCTTTCTTTCAGCTTCAGAATGTCAACAAAAACAACCAAATTCATGATCCACAATGACAGATCGAAACATGCATGCAATTGGCACCAGCGAGAGCTTTATATGTATTGTGCATGTGCGAGTCAACGTTTATTTTTAAATTGCCAGTGTGCGTCATATGTACTGGCCGGTCAGTCAGTTGGGCAGTCGGACAGTCGGTCACTTAGCCTTTTATATAGGGAGATACTATATAAAATCATTTCAAAGAAACAAAATAAATAAGCAACAGATGAAAGAAAAAATAAAAGATGAAAATTGTTATCCAAAATTGTGTAATCCATCTGGCCAATGTGGCTCAGTGGTTGAGGGTCAACCTATGCACCAGGAGGTCACTAGTTCAATTCCTGGTCAGGGCACATGCCCAAGTTGTGGGTTTGGGCCTCAACAAGGGGTGTGCATGTGGCAGCTGAACGATGTTGATGCTCTCTCATCGATGTTTCTCTCTCTCTCTCTCCCTCTAAATATAAATGTACTAGTATATGTGTCTCTCTCTCTCTCTACATATATATATATATACACACACACACACACACACACACACACACACACATACATATCAATAAAAACATATATATTTTTAAAAACCATGTAATCCGCATTAGTTATTTTTCTATCTGAGCTTGAGTAATTTTTTTCCTCCTAAACTTGAAGAGCTATGGTAAATATGCTGAATGATCTCCAAATGCTTTGCAAATATGAACACAAAGACAAGTGACAGCTCTATTCCCTGAAGACAGAGCTGGAAGAATAAGCTGACAGCACCCTAACCCCTGGCTTCCTGGGTTGCTGTGCACATCGCCCAGTCCTGCAGGTGCCACAGTTCAGCAGGTCTCTTCACTGCAGGGCTGACAGGAAGTTAGTGAGTAAACAAGTTGCATTAACTTCCAAGTAGGTGATAGGGTATGATGCTTTTGCAAACTCAGCTCACCTTTAAACACTTCCCTATCCAGGGCACCTGTCAGGCCTGAGGTACTATGGAACATAACGGAAAATATCAGTATCCTTCAAAAAAAAAAAGACCAAAAACCCAACCCATATTTCAAGAGTCAAAACAAATTTACACTTGCAAGCAGCTTTCCCTGATCATCCGATCTCAGCCAATTCCTTCTCCCAGGTGCCTCCAGCACTTAACATTCCTTCCTTTTAAAGAAAATCTATTTAGCAACCATCTTTAACTTTATCTTTGCATATACATATATACATGTTTTACTTCCCCAAAACTAGACTATAAAACATTTGATTAGGCACTGAAATAAAATTACAGCATCAACTGGTAACAGACCTGTCAGAAACAAAGCAGACGAAATAAGTCTTCTACTTTCCCTTTAGGAAGGAAGAACCTCGATGCTTCCATTACACACACAGCTGCGACTCCTGCCACTCACTTCTTTTCTTTCCCACCCACACTAACTCTTTACTGCAGCCATCCTTCTGAAACAAAAAGCTCCCCCTCCACTCTCGCTCGTTGGGCAAGCCTGTGTCTAGAGTCTTACTGCCAGGGTATGCCCCTCTTACTGGACACTAACCATACAGGGATAATGCTACATACTTTCCATATTATCTCATTTAACCCTAGGCCGCAGATTCGTGTGTGTTTTTTTTTAACACATCAACACTGAGGATCAAAAGTTAAATAATTTTCCCAAAGTCGCTCAATTAATTAGTAGTAAATATGGGTTGAACCCCAGATCTGCTTGACCTCTACTTACCCATCCCTCCTCTGACCATCCTAGCTAAAACTGCAAAGCCATGTCTCCCTATCTGCAGCCCATCCCCCCAATTCACTTTTCTTCAAAGTAATTATGCTCTTTGAAAGTATGAGATCATCTACGTACTTATTTTACTTAGTGACTGTCTCCCTACAGCAGAGTATTAACTCCAGGAGGAGAAGACATTTTAGCCTTTTCACTCCCCGCAGTACCTACAATACCTTGACCAGCACTTGATAAACAGTAGGCTCTCAATAAATGACTATGGGATGAATGAAAGAATACCATTATACACAAATGTATTACTGCCATCATTTAATAAGCACCTACTATGTGACAGGAACCATGCTGGAAGGGGCTTTGCAGTTAGTTTATTCAATCACCGTCAGTGCCAAGGAGAATATTTTCACTATCCCATAAGTACCCCCAGTGAGTTTATTCAAAAAATGGCTGTTTACTAAAACACCTAGTTGCACCATTCTAAAGAGAGGTTACCCATGTCATATCAGACTCATTTTCAAAACTCACTGTCACACTCACCCTCAGGACACACATACACACTCCTCTCCCTTTAAAATAAAGAGAAAGAGTAGCCCCCAAGTGATATATTATGGAGAGAGAGCATCATGGTGCAAAAATTAAACCTTACACACCAAAATAATATAAGTTGCTTTACTTTAAAATGTTTAAGAGATATTTTTGTCACGTTTGTCAGCATGATAAGATAAGGAAAATGGAGTAGTTGGTCTTTAACACTGTCAGTCTGTATTAGTTATTTTTTACTTACTTGGGATTAAAGCAGCGGTTCTCAACCTGTGGATCGTGACCCCTTTGGCGGTCGAACGACCCTTTCACAGGGGTCACCTAAGACCATCCTGCATATCAGATATTTACATTACGATTCATAACGGTAGCAAGATTACAGTTATTAAGTAGCAACGAAAATAATTTTATGGTTGGGGGTCACAACATGAGGAACTGTTTTAAAGGGCCAGAAGGTTGAGAACCACTGGATTAAAGTCTTTTGATATATCACAATGGATAGAGAAATCCCACTCACTCTCAACCCACATACTGACATGGCTACAGACATCAACGAGACACAGATGAGACCGGAAAACCGCACCGAGTTACAGCCGGCAGCTGGAGGGAGGCATCAAGAGTCTACCCATCCACCTGGGCTAACAACACCGGCTGTGCCCAACTTCCTGGCTCCCAGGTCAATACTGACCTTTGCAAACAGCAAGGTATGCCACTTGAATAAATTCTTTATGTATGGTTCCTTTTGGTTCAAAATGGACTAAGGCATCTGCCAAGTCATACTTAAACTAAAATGCTTATGTTGACAGAACTTCCTTTTTTTAAAATGTGCAAACAAGTAACTCACAAAGAAATACACATGCCCAAAACCTTGTGAAGATAAAAATTAAACTTACCTAATAATAATAAAAAATAACTTCAAATTAAAATTTTTTCACCTATCAAACTGGTAACAGTTGTTTCTTAAGGGAAAAAAAACAAGATTAGAAAGTAAACATTTGCTGCAAATATAAATAGAACAACATTGATGGTTTTTTTCTCTCTCAAATAAATAAATAAATAAGCACTGCCCTAACCGGTTTGGCTCAGTGGATAGAGCGTTGGCCTGCGGACTCAAGGGTCCCGGGTTCGTTCCAGTCAAGGGCATGTACCTTGGTTGCGGGCACATCCCCAGTGGGGGGTGGTGTGCGGGAGGCAGCTGATCGATGTTTCTCATCGATGTTCCTATCCCTTCCTCTCTGTAAAAAATCAATAAAATATATTTTTTAAAAAATAAATAAATAAATAAAAATAAATAAGCACTGATTTTTTTTTCATCTTCTGTAAACTGACTTATAAGTCATTTTTCTATTGAAAATGTTTTTAAAGGGCATTTACCCACAAGTACTTAAAATATGGGTAAGTTTATATTGTTTTCTTGCTTTTGCACCTGTACGCAATAAGGTGCTTTCATTTTGTGCTCTAAGAGTTGTTTATTTACTTTGTTTGGCATTACCCAATTACAGTTTTGGGAAAAAAAAAAAAAAGCAAATATTCCCCAAACAATGCTGATCAAAGAATAAATTAGTGTCACTTTTTTAGATGGAATTTAGCAGTACTTGAGAACACACACACTGAAATGTACATGCACTTTGACCAGCATATACATTTAAAGGAATTAGTCTCATGAGACATTGGGTCAATCATACCAGGATGTATGTACACAGATGTGCATAGCAGTGTGGTTTACTGTAGACTTGTCTCAAATTCACTCCTGGATGGAAATCTCTATGGATTTGGACAGTATGATAATACATGCACATAGCAGAATACTAAGTCAATGTTAAAAAGTACTACTGCATAAA